ATAAAATACTGTTTATTGAACGCAGATGAGAACAAAGTTCATATTTACATAAGTAGGTGAAAATTCCAGAAGAACACACTGCCATAAAAACATGGCACTGATAAAAAAACATGGATTAATACATTAGAATCAGGAGAAAAGACCAAACCATAGGATTCTTTTGAAATGCAAGTGCAAGAATAAATTGCAGTAACATTTTAAAACACAGTATCTCCAGAAAAGTCACTGTATAAGCAAAATAGCCTGTCTAAAGATGATACAGGGGTCATGCCAAATCTCAGGACTTCACTGGAACACATACTTCACTTTTTTGCAACACAGGGAAACTTCACAGCACCTGGAAGTTAGTACAAGTCATTAGTAACTACAGTTCGACTGAACATATTGTGCTTTCCAGTGAAGTGTTCATGATTAAGTTTTTCCCAGGTAATTGAGTACTTTATTCTGGTACAAAATGTATCATCTCCAGAGCAATGTACCCTTATTCATGAGAGGACTTCTGCAAAAATTTGTTCTTGCACTAATGATGCCCTTGAATGGGAGCACCATTCACTCACGACTCCTTTTTGTAAGCAGACAGATGGAAACACATGAAATAGGATAGCAAACCAGATGAGGGGCAGGGGCCCCTCTCCTAGAACTCCTCTTCATGAGCAGATGGACAGAAATATATAAAGTATGATGGCTCACAGACCAGAGGAGGGGTAGGGGTATTTCCTTTGTGTAAGACTTAGCAAGGAAAGATTGCAGATAAAGTACTGGAGATGAACCTAACCAATTCTCATGTGGCTCCAACAGCATGTTTGTGCCATACATCAAAGCCTGTGAAGGCTACAGACTGTGTTAAATAACTGTGCTTCATGAAGCTTCCCATCCAGCGCTCTGCTCACCCCTTCCAGTTTTGCTCAACAGAAACTCAAGCTAGGCCCTTGTGGGGCTGAAAACTGGCTGTATATTCCTCCTCTGTTTCCCATCCCTCAACAAGTATTTTCCTTGACATAACTGTATGGTCTTCATAGCATGCCACTCCATATCCACTTCTGACCGACTGTCAAAATATTTGCTTTGACAGTCCAAATTCAAAATATACAACAGTTCTTTAACCCCTTTGGTATTAACTCATTCAAAAGAGTTCTCACTGAGGAAGCAGACTACAAAAAGTAGGCTTGCCCCTTGGCCATTTGGGGCTCCCTCTGTTTTCACTATTGCCTTCAATCGTACAGGCATGGGCAGAGGCTACCTGCGCTGGGGAAGCAGGTGTGCCAGGAGGGGAAGAGCCCTGAAAGGGAAGCACCCATGTGAGCTGCACACCACGGCAGCTCCCTAGCACAAGGGTCTCGGCAGCGCCATCCCACCCTACCACACACCCGCCCTTCCTTGGCTGCGCTTTTTGACCTTGGCCAGGTCAAAAGTACACTTTCAGCCTTGTTTACTCTGCTCATGGTCAGGCTCTGCATTAAGTGAAGTCTAACGCAGTGAAAGGTGTCAGAGAAAACAACAGATCCTCACAGTACCCAGAGAGAATAAAACTGAGTTCTTGAATGCAAAAATACTTCAGATGTTTTAATCTAACAAAACAAACCATCTTAAAATATCACTAAAACCTTCTTCCTAACTAGATGCAATTTTGACAGCCAGATACTCTGCCTATGTCTATAGCTAAGACTATTCAGCTGTTGCCTTTTACTACAAAACATTGCTATATGCTAAGTAAATAAATAACATATATTTTACTAAACTAGATAAAGAAACACACTTGCCTCCATTTTGCTTACACCGCCAAAACCAGAAAGTCAGAAGTTGATCTAAATTATATTATTTGAATTAAGGTTTTTATTTTAGAGATGTTGAGCTGCAGGGTTTTGCTTTGGCATACCAGGCAGATAGGAAGGAACAGCTGCAAAGTTCAAATCTGAGTCAATCACATACCACAGCTGTTTATTTTAAAAAGGTGTCCTACAAGCAACGTACAAGAGACCCACAAGTACCTTCCAGAACAATGTTATGACCAGTCCTTCATGCTCCCTTTATGGTTTGACCGAAGACAAGGGCTCAGACTAAACTCTACAATTCAGCTTTCACTGTTCCCAGCCTCGTTCTATCAGCTCAAGAGTGAGAATAAATCATCTTTAGATAAGTGGTTTTAGGCTTGGCTAAAACAAACAGCTGAATGGAAGGCCACACAGACTGCTGAAACGGTCCCTATTTATAAAATAAATCCACGCACAATTAGATGTTTTCTTCTAAAGCTTCCTACAGTCCAAAGCACAACTACATGGAAGAGTTTCTAAACCTTGTTTACCATACACAAGCTTGAGCATGTCATAACCCAAAATGTGCAAATCTTGAAAGCCTGGGTTCTGCCTTCTCTGAAACTTTGTTACTTAGCAGTCATAAACACTGAAAATGCTTTAAACTATGAGAGTGGAAGTGGCTCCTATTTATGTTGATGTTTGCAGACTCACTATTTAAAGCAAGCAGAAAAAAGCTCACACACTAAGACTCCATTACCTTAAGATGACCCCCACCCAGGTTGACATGAGCTCCCCTTGCCTGGTGAAGTAAGTGGCCACCACACCACAGAGGCAGGAGGGACAACACTTGGACAATGTGGGATAAGCATGACAGATTATTCATTTACTGGCTGAGGGATAAATGTGAATAAATAAACTTCTCCTCCCACTTGATCCCTTCACAGGAGGTGCATTCTTCTGGGAGCTGTTCCCCAGGAGGAGAGGGCAG